CCCCGTGCCGCTCAGTAGTGGGATCGCGCCCGTGAATAGACGCTACGGTGCAGCCTGAGCAACACAACGGAACCTCGTCTTTTATTCACTTCACTCCAGCTCTCTCTTCAATCCACCACCTAGCCCCCAAACCCCCGAACTGGTTTTCAGTTAATTTCCCTGGTAAAAGAAAGTTGACATAAATGACCTCCCTGCTTATATAAACTTACCTGCATATCTCCCTATCACAATCAGGATATATTTCACCTCATTTATCTTCTTTGATGTACATTTTCAAACAAATCTCCCTTAAATTGTATTTTACCTACAATAATTTAAACACTAATAACTCCATTTAGTGTTCTTTTCCCTTTATGTTACCGGCCATGTTATCGCCACCTATCGACAGACATCCGCAAAAACAACATTTTTGTTCCGCAATTTCGAAAAATTTCAGCTGGCGACGCCCTTTTGCGATTTCAGTAATAACCCCCCAACCCCCAGTTTATATTATGAGGAAAATACTTATACATCCTGTTCAGATACATTAACATGGATTATTTTATCTGTATGTTTAAAGGCTGTAATGATCTCTGTCGGATTCACTATAGCTTTCACTATTCACTATTTGCTTCTTGTATGACTTACTCAACTACAAGTTTGGAGTCAAGTGCCTTGCAGTTCATCCAAACTGCAAGTATGACACCAAGTGCACCATAACAGCACTATTTCATCACATCGAACTTGGGTCAGAATGATTTGCGTATTTCTCAAGCTGGAGGTGTCATTCATACGAAGCCCCTTCAGCAACAGACTACTGCATCCAACATGCAAGTAATAATAATATGAGTAATTGATATAAGAAATTTAGAGTTTTGGGGGTATTCCTAAAGCAGGGCTCCAGACTAAGTATTTGCATTTACTAAAATTAACTTCCATTTATTAAATGATTGTAAACAGAAATAAAGGTGTAGGTTAATGGTTGTCTTCATTTGAATCACGGCACAAACAAAAAAATGCTAAATTTTCATAATTTTAAAACAAAACTTAAATGATGTTTAATTTAAGTTTGTTAAATGAGGTTATTAACAAACTTAAAATTACAAAAACTCGAATGACTCCAAAGTGTCTGCTTCAGGCTCGCCAACTCTCACGCGACTGGCACGACACTCGCGCTTTATGACTGTCACGGTCACGCGAGAAATCTAACGGCAAATCTATATTACTCCATTTTAAACTTTAAAATAGCTACATCAAAAGCGTTTGGATAGTTTGAAAACCCTAGAGACTATTTATATGGTATTAAAACTGTGTGTGCAGACTTGTCTGGAATTGAAAATCACAATGGTTTTATAATTAATAAAAACATACCATATTAAACCCTTCATAGACGTAGAGTTTCAGAAACACTGGTCTAAAGTGGCGAAGACCCGCCCCTTCTCTGCCTCTGATTGCCTCTGTGCCTGAAGAGAACTCAGATAGACCTGCGACATGTTAGGGGCACCAGTGCGACCGAGGAAAAAGCATAATTGATTTCGACAGATTATCGGCCGTTCTCTGAAACCGTGTGAAGTTTTAGTAGGAAGTAAGTATTTTCTGTTTCTGTTATATAATCCATTTAGTCATTGACTGTTTCTAAGAGATACAAAACATAACTGTATTTAATTTGAAAAACGAAACATTCTGAATATAATAAAATAATAATAAAAAGTATGACGGATCAACACGTACCTTTAGTTATATGTCATTTAAGGAAGCTTGAGAAAAATAACTTTTTAAATAAGGAGAAGACTAATTTAGAGTTTTTGGAGTATTCCTGAAGTATGCATGCAACGTTTTAGTCAGAATAGCCTGTTCACCGTTTAGCAGTAAAACCTTAATCAACATCCATACTTGGAAGCTGTAGTAACTTTACTGAAACAGATTTGAGAGTATATAGATACTGGACAGAAACATAGAAAATAAATAATTACACTCATTGCCTGCATAAAAATAAGTTTTATAAAAATGAAAATATAAGCAAAATAAAACAGGTTTCCTTTATAACATGGAAAGTATATGTAACAGTGCATGTTTGGGCAAAGGCAATGCAGGGAGCAACAATGACAGAACTGGGGAAGACAAGCCTGGCAAGCACTTATGCACTGGGTTCACGAGAGGATAAAAAAGAGGCAGCTGGAGTGAGTTAACAATGGGGCAGTAATGAGAGGAGAGATGCACAGAACAGGCGTGGCTCAATAGAGCCATGCTAGGGAGAAACAGGAGGGGCAAGGACCATCACACCATGACATACGGGTGCAGAGACCAAAAGCAGACTACGATCTGGACAGGGGAACAGACCAGGGGCCAAAAACACTCGAGAGGGACTAGTTGACTAGATATGACACAATTGTGGCCGGGAAGTGAGCAGAGGCGGGGCTAGGGATAAAAAGCTGACCGGGACGGACAAACAGGACAGGACAGACCAGGAGATGGACCACCAAGACAGGGACAGAGACGTGACCATGGGACACAGGGGAGACATGGCAGGGAAAACACAGGGCAGGGCAAGGGAACCAGGAAAGGGGCATCACATGGTTCAACCAAAACGGGATAGGAGGAGGACAACCGGGCAAAAACAGGGAAGGCATAAAAGGGAACTGGGCCCTGTAGGGGGATTGTTTGGGCTCCGAGAAGTGGGACTTTGACCGAGGGCCACAGGGCATCCTAGGCTTTGGAGGGATTTTGGGGGGGAGCCTCGGAGACATCAGGCGGCTTTGACAGAAAGACCATACCGAGGACAGGACTAGCACCCAGGGAAGTTCTGGGGACCACTCTGAGGAGGAGCCTTAGGGACCCACTGGAGCGGAGGGACCTGCAGGAAAGGGACAGGAGCAGGACCCAGGGAGCCCAGGGCCAGAGCAGGAGGCACCACTGGAACCACCAGGCTGGGACTCAAGGGTGGAGAGAAGCCTGCAGGATGAGATGAGAGAGGAGCTGGGTCGGGGACAAGAGCCCCCTTCTCTCCTCAGGAGACCAAGACCCAGCCTGCCCCCTTCTTGGGCCCCCGCTGACACTGCGGACCTCCCTGGAACCTGAGACAGGAGTGGCCGAGTCCTTGATAGGGGTAGGAGCCCCTGGAGTGGGACTCAGGGCAAATCCCAGAGGGTCCCACTCTAAGGGCTGTGATATACTTCAGGCGAGGTGACGCATACACAATGTATGACTGTACTTGAACATGTAGTTTACATCTATCTGGAGCATTAAAGGTCATGTCCACCAGGGGGCAGTGTGAGAAAACCATGTTGGCCGGCTCCTTCATTTCCGGTCTCAATTGTTTTGTGTGAGGTTGTGACATGAAATTATACACTCATTGCCTCTACACCGATTAAATTGCTAATTCTGTAATACTGCTGCAGGATTCTCTGTATTCTAACTACTGCTCCTCATCGTACTGGTACTTTGCTCTGCCACATATCACTTTACTACCCCCATGCTGAATGTTGTAATGTACGTTGTTAGATGTCTAGTAGTACTTAGTATTTTGTAATTAGGCTGCACAATACTGGAAAAATCAATTTCTGCAATAAGTATTGCAGTATTTATAAAGAAAAAAATTGTTCAAGATAAATCAATTTTCCACAAACACAAGTGAGGAGTGATTTAAGCAGCAAGGATGATAATGATTTGGAATGGCTTGAAGAGCGCATGCAGAGCTTGCTAAGTTTTGTTTCCTATCACAATATAATTGTTCTAGCGAAATGTAAACCCCACGCTTTCTGCAAATTTTATAAGATTTATGAATACCGGAACTGTATGGACAAACGTATTGAAAAAAACTGCATTGAAAAACGTTGCTTATGAAAGTAGGCAAGTCAGAATTTCATGATACCGCTTTCTTAGAAACTTAAACTGCCATTAAATTTTGAAGACACTGTACACAGTGGGACAAAAGAGTGCTCGCAATATTTTCTCACTTTCCTCTGACAATATACAGTTCTGGGGTGTCTGGAAGGAGCAGCGGGGCTTCCACCCGCTTCTTGGCGTCGAGCAGGTAGCTCTCCACCGACGCCCATCCTCAAGCTGCTCAAGGCCACCCTCTAGCTTCGGATCCCTCCTGCCACGCTGATTTCAGCGCTGGTCCTGACACCAGTTCCAGAGAGCCAACCAGGTAGGAGTGGGAGACTTTATCTGGAGCACCACTGGAGGCTCTGTCCTGGGTGGGAGGTGGAGCGCAGCTGCAGGGTTTGACGGAAGTGGCACAGGCAGGTCTTCCTTGCCGCCGTAGGAGGACCAATAAGGCATCAACACTGGTGGGGCACCCTGTGGGCCGATGGCCTTCTTAGGATTCTCCTCTCCAGGCTCCTCCAGGTCACTGTCGCTAAGGGGGTAAATGAGAAGGTTACCCACAAACCACCTGGGTGTGTATATTAGAGGATTGGGCGGAGACTGGAGGCAGGCAACCGGGGAGAGCAAGCAAGCCAAAGAGTTTGGCTGGGCTCTTGTAGGAGGCTGCTGGGCAACTTGTGGGGTTTGGTCATTCTGTCACGTACGAAGCAGGATGGAAGACGCAGGAAAAGGAGTAAGAACAAACAAAGGGGCTTCATTAATCCAGTGAAACCAGGGCCAGAAAACAAAAGGGTCTCTGGGGGTTAAAACTAATGGTGGAAAGTGAAAGGAAAGCAGTTTAGGCAAAGGCACAGCAGGGGGGCAACATCAATGACAGAACTGGGGAAGCTGGAGTGAGTTAACAATGGAGCAGCAAGGAGAAGAGAGACAAACACAGACAGGCGTGGCTTGCTAGAGCCATGCTAGGGAGAAACAGGAGGGCAGGTAAGCAGGGTTTTTACAGTTTACAGTTTTTGGAGTATTCCTAAAGTATGCCCGCAACATTTTAGTCAGAATTGCCTGTTTACCATTTACCAGTAAAACCTTAATCAACATCCATACACGGAAGTTGCAGTAACTGAATACAGACTTGAGATCATATAGATACTGGACAGAAACATAGAAAAGAAATAATTACACACATTTCCTGCACAAAAATAAGTTTACGAAAATGGTATTTCTTAGCTCATTTTACTAATTCCTGAACATGTTTACATGTTTCTGCAAAGTTAGCAGCACAAACAAAAGATGCGTGCTGAGCAGTATGACGTAGTACTGTATATTCTGTATGTGTTAACTTGTTTATGTGTAATTCATACTGAAATATTAAGCTGTAAAGTTAAAAGGTGAATTTAATTGAACTCAGTTCCATTTTAATTGTACTTCAAATTTTAATTTCAGTTCTGCATCCTGTCTTCAAGCACGATTTAACTTCAATTCAATCTGATTCTCGTCCAATCTGAATAATGCACAATCCTGCCGCTGCACCCAAGCTGAGAGCGTCATGACTGCGGCTGAGAGATTTATTTTCATTGGCTGCCTGCTGCAAGGTGAGACAAGGGGGATGGGGGAGGGGGGGGGGCACAGATTGTATAATTAAACTAATTAGCATCCAGAACTTAGGGGTCCAAACTATAAACCTCTAATTTATATACAGCATCAACTTCTTATGAATTGGCTTTCTTATTAGTTCTATTCAGAATACATGGTTTCTCTGTGGAGAAACTGAATGAATGTAAGTACAATGTTAATGTGCATATGAATATACATGAACTGACATGTGTCTTCTAGTGCAAATGTACAGCAGGACATCTTTGTATAATTGACTATAGACAGACTGTGACAGTATGATGTCTGAATTGTAGGTGGTCTGTGCAGTACCTGGTCAGTCCAGATGCCTCAGTCTATACAAGCCCTGAATGGATCCTGTGTGCTGATTCCCTGCACATTCCAGATCCCATCTGCAAAAAATCAACATCTAATAAACCCAGCTGGAATATGGTGGACAAAGAGAGGGTCGTCTGATAAAAAACAATTGGAAAATAGAGATATAATTGGAAAATTATCTGAGAAGAACTGCACCACAGTCCTGAACAGGATTAGTAAGACATGGACTGGTGATTATTCATTTAGGATTGAAGGCAATAACCACATCAAGAATAATTTTAAAGAGAAAGTGAAAATTAATGTAGAAGGTATGTCATCTACCTTAAATTTAGTGTTGAACATTATTTTTCTCTACATTGTTATAATGTAAATAGATTTTCGTTGGACGTGAATGTCTTTATCGATGTATATATCAGACAAGCGACATCGTTGTGTGTGTGTGTGTGTGTGTATATATATAATTATTATTTTTATTTATTTATTTTTTTGCTGTAGCTGTCCTGAGCAGTGGTTGTGGGGTGCTGCTTGTCCCTAATCCCAGGACAGCCCCCCCCCCCCAAGATGTGTGTGATATAATGTTATATGAATCACGTGACACTTTGTCTCTATGTCTTCCAGACTCTCCCCCCAGCCCCCAGGTCACCATAAACAAGGACATGGTGAGGGAGGGGGACTCTGCGACTCTGAGGGAGGGGGACTCTGTGACTCTGAGGGAGGGGGACTCTGTGACTCTGACCTGCTCGGCTCCAGCTCCCTGTCCATCACTCCCCCCGACTCTGTCATGGACCCCCAGGCTGAGTGACAGTGTCACTGTATTTCAGGAGAATGATGATCACACTAAACATGCATCTTCTGTTATGACCTTTACTGCCTCACATCTCCTCCATAAACAGGAAGTCAAATGTACAGCAGTTTACAGGCTCCAAACAGTCAAGAGTGAGAGGACATCCCACACAAATGTAACTCTAAAGGTTCAGTGTAAGGCCATTTTGAGCATTTTTTGTCGTATTTCTTTAAACTGTATGAAATCCCCTAATGAAGTTAAAGCCAATCTGATTTAAGCATCCCAAGGTTTTCTGTGACATGTTACTTTTATATTCCCAGACTCCCCCAAAAACACTTTGGTCTTAATTGGAAAAGATGGGAGTCTAACCTGCAGCAGTGATGCCAACCCAGCAGTGAACAATTACACTTGGTATAAAGTGAGTGGGGGTGAAATCAAAGTTGTTTCATACACACAGAGCCTCACCTCTAATATCACTGAGGTCAGTGGACAGTATTACTGTCAGGCTCAGAATGAACACGGCCTACAGAATTCAAGCACTGTGCAGCTCCACTGTGATCGTAAGTATCACTTGATATCGCTATCAAAATACAGTGGTACCTCGGTTCTCGAACTTATTCCGTTCTGGACTCTGGATCGAATTCTAAAAAGTTCGAGTTCTGAACGAATTTTTCCCATAAGAAATAATGGAAAACCAATTAATTGGTTCCCGGCCAATTAAGAAGACCATATACTGTACTAAACACATCTAAGCACATTTATCAAAAAACAGTAATTTGTAAAGTAAGAAAATAAATGTATCCAAACAATGTGTCCTGCCCCAATCGTCCGCTCCTTCCGTGTGCCACGCCCCCTCGTTAATCTCGTGTGGGATCCCCGTGTGATCAGCTGTTTCTGGTTGTTGTCATTAGTCCTCTGTATTAAGTCCGCATTTCAGTTTGTTTCCCCAGTCACGTCATTGGGTGCATTCGACTTGCTTACAGCGCTGGCTTAAAAAAACGCATTCTGATCCTGACGCATTAGATGCATTGCGACCTCTCACCCGGCTGCACAAACATCTATGCTGCACAAACAGGAACCGCCTCCGTGACGACACACCTTTGCCCTTATTGGCTGAAGAGTTTAGTTACACGCATGACGTTTGTATCCCAGGCAGTTCCGGTGCGTAATCTGCAATTTCTGCTATTTCTCCCGAATATCACGTAAAGCAGTGAGAACTGGTTTTCAGTTAATTTACCTGGTAAAATAAAGTTTAAATAAATTACATAAATGCTCTAATAGTACACGTAAGTTAGTGGTTTATTTATTGTTAGTTACTGTAATATTGCGCTGCTTTATTTGGTTAATCGTCCAGTCTGCCAAGAAGGCATTCAAGTAAGAATTGTATTGTAGTATGACTCATTTCCTGGTGCATACAATTTATATTAGGTCAGCGTTCACGGTTCGACTTCTGATATTCAGATCGAGTTCTAGGTCAAACTGGTTTGTTCGACTTTCAAGAAATTACAGTTCTAGTGAGTTCGACAACCGATGTACCACTGTACTAATGTTCTATTGAATTTATTGTAACTTTTCTAATTGTTTGACATGTGGAAACATACAAGTCAAATCTATAATTATACCCAAAAGCTACAAAACCTGGGCCTGTATCATGAAGTGAGATTTGTTCTTTAGCTAGATAACTTGCTGGATTAAGGTACCCAAGTTGAAATGGATTTTATCTTTGTTTGCTTACATTTAGCCCAAATGACCTTAATTCTGGCAAGTTATCTTGCTAGCCCAGAATTCCAGCTTTTGATACAGGTCCCTGGTCAACCATTAGAGAAGTTTACCAGTACAAAGTGACTGAGGTTGGCATTATCATTGACACATAGTAACTGGAACTGTCACATATATTTCTAATTTTGACTCATCAGCTTATAAACACTGTCATTATAGCAGTGATTGTAGTTTCCTTTCTGATCATTAAGTTCTATGTGGGGGCTTCCTGTAATATAATGGACACACCATCTGTTTGCTGTACAGCAGTCAAGGCTCCACCCACTTGGATGGCCGCTGCTGCAGGGGCGGCTGGGATGATGCTGACGTGCATCTTAATGCAGATTCTTCTCAAGTGAGTGTCTGGACCTGAATCTTCCCTGATCAGAACGGTGCCTGATTTGTCAAACATTTCTTTATCAGTCTGGTCCTGATTACATCATCATTTCCAGAAAATGCTGCCCCAGGGAGAATCACAGCAGTAAGATACGAGTCACTGAAGAATTAACACCGATAAATTTGGTGAGTCTCTCTCATCTGAGCCCTCTGTGCCTTACTGACATTGCTGCCCTTCATCACATTTTAACTATATAAAAAATAATGTCTTTCAAAATATTATATTATAATTATATATTGTACAACAGTTCGTTCCGACCAAGAAACCTGATTGGTTATCCGCACTCAGACATTTCACAACAGTGTATCACTACGCGTTACAGGTGTATCTAAAACCCCTGATGTATCACACGCCTCAATTCTCCAACACGGAGCCGGTGCTGGGCTGGTTCTGGCTCGGTTCCTTTTAGAACCTGCCGCCTGATTCAAAAATGAACGTAGACGCCTAATTTCTTTTTTCTGATTTATACTTTTGAAAATACATAACACCAGACTTCTGAGAGTGGGTTTGAGTCTGGTAAGAGGAACATCTGCCATCAGCTGTGCACCAAAGGTCGAGACAAGAGGTCTGCTACAATGAAAGCTACTGTTGTGGGACAACAAGACTGTCATACCATTTTCACTGAACTCTGAAGAAATGGGAACCAATGAGAGCGAGTTTGCAGTGGTGAGAAAGGTCCGTAGCCTTCAGCCAGCAGAATGTCCATCCCCGAACGACTAAGGCACAAGTGTAGCTAGAATGAATTGTAATTCTTACTGTATGTTTTCTGAAGAATAATATTGTAATGGGGGAAAAAGCTATTGTGGCTTTCAAAGAAATTTGCCCAATTTACACAATATATTGTTACTTTTCTGATGGTTTATTTGTATGGTGCCTCTGAGGTAAGGGAGCTGTGCTGGCAATTAGAAGGTTGTTGGTTTGAATCCCGTAAATGCCAGGAGTTATTCTGCTGTGAGCAAGGCCTGCTTTTTATTTATCCTAGGCATGACATTAACTGACATCCAGCTCTACAATGTCCTCCAAAGCAATAATGTACTCCCAAGTCATGCAGCTGTACTCCAATATATCATGGCTGTGATTGTCTTCAGCATATTATCATGGCTTTTGTTTAATCGATAAGTAACCTGCTTAGAAATCACATTTTAAAATTTAACAGGCACCTAATTCCTTTTTTCTGATATATATGTTTGAAATATATATAACAGCAGACTTCTGAGAGTGGGTTTGAGTCTGGTAAGAGGAGGACAATCTGGCAACCTGGGAGTAGAGATGTGACTGGATGTGGCTTCAGAAGTCAGGATTCAGCCTCGTGCCTACGACCAAATCACAGCTATGAATACAACCGCACTCCATCTCGTATGTTATTGCTTAAATAGGATAGGATTAAGATATGATAGGTTAAGATAAGCTTAATATAAGATTGTATAACATAGAAAAAGGTAAGATTAAGATTGTATAGGATAAGATAAGACAGTTTAAAATAAATTCTATCTTATTTGTCCAGAGGGGAATTGTTGAGATGACAGGCTTGTCTCTTTTTATTCTTGTTTCGTCTGTTAAATATAAATTACTTTGCATTCAGATTTTATCTGTGTGTTTATGTAAAACTTTGGGAACTTTGACACAATATCTGATGAGTTAAATTAATAAAATGATGATTAGTTAAACTCATGCACATGTAGAGATTGGCAATGTATGACAAACCACAATATGCCCCTGTCTGGGCATGCTGGAGAAGTTAACTAGAATGTCACTAACAGCCTAGCAAGTGAATCCACAAGTTCCAGATCACAGCACTGCTGTTTGCTAATTGCTTTTTTCCTCTCCTATAATGACATTCAGTGAGCAATATTTGATAGCATATTTTCCTACATAATTTACCTTTTGGCACCGAGCACCAAAGCAGCTTCTTTCCTTGGATTACTGCTCAAGGGAAAATGAAGTTCACAACGAGCAAGCTGGGTCCAACAGGGTGTGTCACGTGATTTACTGACATCTAGCCAAAGACAGTTATGGGCTATATTTACAGGTCTGTAATCCTGGTGATGAAGGTCCTTAAAATGACAGAAAATAAATAAATGAATGAATAACATTATATTTTTTATTTATTATATTAAATGTTTTAAATGCATAAAATAAAATCTCTCAAAGTCTTTTCTCACATTTTTTTTCAGTCTACCAAAATACAATTCACAAAATACTCAGAAGTAATTAAACATTTATTTTAAATATATTTAATTGAAATACTGCCCATCTGTGCAGAAAAGCAGCTTCTCTAATGAGATTTTATTGCAATGTGTCTGCATGCAGACAATAACATCGACATTAGGAGAACCAGCCATTGTTGCAAATTGCACTGTAATGTTGGCCCGTACATCCACACTAGGGAAACTTTATATACTGTCTTGACAGTCGGTTAAAACCAGCCACAACCTGAGGATTAATGGAACTCAGAATGGACTGGGATATCCCTGATCTGTCAGCCGATTCCTGTTGGTATGTTCCAGAGCCAATTCGTCACACAATTCCATCAGAATGGCTTTTGGTAACTCTAAAACAGCTGATAAGCCACAAATCATCACTTGGAAAATAATCGTTGTGATCTCTAAATTCTCCACCCCTTCATATTTGGCCACAGGTGCTGTCCTCTAACAAAGCGAAATATGCCATAGTAATGCTGTGTGTGACATACTTACACACGGGTCCTTTATTCCAATTACATGTGGGTGCACATCTGCTGCGGCCTACTTACTTTGAGTTTTCAGTACACACACGTCTAACTTAGTGCACAATACATATTTTTGGATATATAATTTATTCATTTAAAACTATAAAACAAACGCTGAATGCTAGTTGCATATTAGTTGTATATTGTGGTGTTTACAATTACAGCTGTCTGTATTTCCCTTAATCCGATGTCATTGTTCCTCAGAACTATTTAAACAATCTCTGCCTCTTCAGTAACTAGCGCTGGTGCCTGACTCGGGCAAAACTGGTGCCAGACCACTAGGGAACAGTTTTGTGCAACTGCTTCAAGTTGCCATCTTGGTGCATTGTCATG